GGAGGAGGCACGGTCATGTCATGCTTGCGTTGATTGAGCCACATGCGAGGCACATCAAGGCAAGGGAGGTTTATATCTAACAATTAAGGGGTGTTTCCGCACATTGACGAACCACGAAAGCACGGCTTCGTCATGAGGTGTACCAGCCGGCCACCCAAGGCGACGCTGAAGCCAGTTCTGCGGAAGAGGTGGCCTGTTTTCAGCGTTTGGCATGAGGCTGCACTCCCACACAAGATGATCAAGGGTGGCCACAGCCCCGCAGGCACAAGTGAGAGGAGTGTGAGTCATTCGGCCAAAAGCCGCGTGTGACACGAAGCCGCCCGTCATGACCGCGAAGCGGTGTTGGCTGCCACCTTCTGCGATCCGGCAGCGCCTGCACCTGCCGGCATCGTATTGGGAGCCGCGGCAAGCAACCGCATCATTGCGGTTGGATGATTTCCACGTGTTAAAAGCGTGGGCACGAAAGCCCTCGCGAAGAATGTGGTTCAGTCTGTCAATGGGCATTGTTAGGATCAAATGAAAGAGATTCATCAGTGCCATGATGGCGCCAGCACCAAAAGTCAGTGCGGTGCCCAGACATGCGCGTCAAAAGGGTGTTAATAACACCAGCAAGTCCAATACGTTGCCACTCAGGCACACTAGCATTACGGCACACACGGTGCACGGCGTTTATGCAAGTGGTAATGATTCGAAATCTAAAATTGAGTCTATGGCCACGGAGAATATCATGGAGGTGGACACAGCTTTACTTAGGTTCAGCCAGGGCACGGCGGATTACAATCTGCACTTTAGAACAAATTTTTAAAGATGGGCAACGCATGGCCCACCCAAACTCGCCAACTGCCAGAGATCCGCCTGCAATTACTACTCGCTTAACGATGAAGGGAAGTGGCAGAAAGGCAGTCCTATGTATCAAAGTGAGTTAATGCGCTCGAGCTCCTTTGCACACAGAAATCGCAGCTATGCGCCACGAAGCACGTGCCCAAATAAACACAGTTGGTCGGTAATGTTCGGCGCCGCAACACCTTAAGAAATCATTTGTTTACAACCAACAACGGTCGCGTGATAATATTAGCTTTCTATCGCGTTATATATATATCTATCTATAATTATTAAATTATACTATTTTTTAGTTAATAATTAAATTCTATTATTCTATTATCATAGGTTTCATTTCGCACACTACTAGAAAGCAACAGACCCCACTAATATATAAACAAATTGTATTAAAATAATATATATATATAAAATATATATATATAAACTAATAATAAACACAATATAAATAATACAACATTATAAAATAAATAAATATAATATTCTTTTACCATTTTTCTGTAAACCAATATATAACATATCCTTTAATATTATCCCCAAATATTTCAATAACGAATTTTAAGTAATTTTCAACAACCCACTTCTTAACTTATCATATATAATTCTCAACATTTCTTCATCTTTATTTATTTATAAAACTATATCTATTAATTTCTTATTATTTACCTCCATATCCATATTTCTTTATATCTTTTTATATCTCTTTATTTATTTAATAATATCTATATATATATATATTTCTATCTTTCTATCTATCTATTCACAAAAATAACACACTTCCACATTTCTACATACCACATCTTCTCCTTTCAAGCTCCGCTTTCTTCTTTTCGCTTTATCTAGCTTTTCATTTCTAATTTTTACAATTCTTCTTTTTTATTTACTCGTTCGTTCGCTCGTTTACCTCCCTCTCTCTCTCTCTCTCTCTCTCTCTCTCTCTCTCTTTTTCTCTCTTTTTCTCTCTTTCTCTCTTTCTCTCTTTTTCTCTCTCTTTCTCTCTCTTTCTCTCTCTTTCTCTCTCTTTCTCTCTCTCTCTCTCTCTCTCTCTCTTCTCTCTCTCTTCTCTCTCTTCTCTCTCTCTCTCTCTTTCTCTCTTTCTCTCTTTCTCTCTTTCTCTCTTTCTCTCTCTTCTCTCTCTTCTCTCTCTCTCTCTCTCTTCTCTCTTTCTCTCTCTTCTCTCTCTCTCTCTCTCTCTCTCTCTTCTCTCTCTCTCTCTCTCTCTCTCTCTCTCTCTCTCTCTCTCTCTCTCTCTCTCTCTCTCTCTCTCTCTCTCTCTCTCTCTCTCTCTCTGTCTCTCTTTCTCTCTTTCTCTCTTCTCTCTCTTCTCTCTCTTCTCTCTCTCTCTCTCTCTTTTCTCTCTCTTTCTCTCTCTTCTCTCTCTTTCTCTCTCTTCTCTCTCTCTTTCTCTCTCTTTTTCTCTCTTTCTCTCTTTCTCTCTTTCTCTCTTTCTCTCTTTCTCTCTTTCTCTCTTTCTCTCTTTCTCTCTTTCTCTCTTTCTCTCTTTCTCTCTTTCTCTCTTTCTCTCTTTCTCTCTTTCTCTCTTTCTCTCTTTCTCTCTCTCCCTTTTTCTCTAGAGAAAGAGAGAGAAAGAGAGAAAAAAAAGAGACTTCTCTCTCTTTCTTTCTTTCCCTAGTGCCGCTTTATCGCCCGCAAGATGAGGGACGGCTTGCCCAAGTTTTGTTAGGGCATGAATTTGTCTCTCCCGGGGCCGGAGGCACCTTTGGGGAGCCATTGCCTCCACCTCGGTCATCTCCGACAATAGCAACTCCTACTGCCATAGATCTCTCTCTCTCTCTCTCTCTCTCTCTCTCTCTTTCATTCTTTCTTTCTTTCTTTCTTTATCTATTTCTTTTTCTTCTTCTTTTTTTTCTCTCTCTTTTTTTTTTCCCGTAGATATCGCTTTTTCTCTTTATTTTTCTCATTATTTATTTCCCTTGTTTTTTTTCCTCAATCTTTTTCTCTTTTTTTTTCTTCCTATTTCTCTCTCTTTTTCTCTCTTTTTTTCGTTCCTCTTTAATTTTTTGTTGGTATTGCCATTACTAGAATTAACGGGTTCTTTCCAATTAATATATTTATAATATATAATCAAATATATAAATAAAACAAATCACATATTCTCGAATTAGATTTAATAATTTATATCATTTTTAAATATAACATATATATTATATAATAAACATTTTTGTTTTATTTTATTTTTTTAAATCATGTTCTTTTTTTTTAAGGATATTGTATGTGTTTTTTAAGACATTTGTAAATTTCCAACCCGCCCAAAACCAAAATAACATATTTGTTCGATTTCAATAAATTTTCCATCCAATGCTACAAAATTCTAAAATCACTGAAATTTAATTCCGATCAAATTAAATCCCATTAACAATTATTCAATTTCAAAAATAATCACATCTCAAATTCCTTTTCAAAAAACAATCATTTCACCCCTAAAATTCATTTCTAAAAATCTATCAAATCCCCTCTAAAAAATATCCAATTGCCATCAAATCCACCTAAAAACCAACAAAATCAAAAGAAACAAACAATCATATTATCTAAAAAATAAAACCTACGCTTAGCCCACCATTCTGTAACTCTCTATAACTCTCAAAACCAAATAACATATCTAATTTTAAAACCAAATCAGACATCGACTCACTCACTTCTAATAACAACACTTCAACACAAATAAAAACACAATATATACTTTAAAGCCAACAAAAAACAAACTAACCAAAGCGAACAACACAACACATTTATTCAATTATTTGATCCAATAATCATTAATCAATCATTCGATGCATCCAATCGAATCAAGCCAATATCAAATCAAAAATCCACCAACCAACCAACCAGTCAACCGCCCCGCCAATCCAATTCAATCCAATCCATCAAATCAGGTCAGTCAATCAAAGCAAGCAAAACAAACAAGCAAAACAACTCAAATCAAATCAATCAGCCAACAAAAGCATACAATTATAAATGTATGTGTGTAATAACGTAATTGTGTTGGTATTCACTAGCTTTTGGATGACATGCAGGGCAACACTGTTGCCGCGTGGAGCAATTTGGAGCCAACTCCAACAGCTCCGAGCAACGTGATGACGGCTCCAGAAATGTGAACGGCTTCTTGAGATGTTTGCTTTGGTTTGTGAAGGTTGGTCTCTCCTCGCGGCTAATGAAGCGGACAGCCGACATAAGGCCAGAAGACCAAATCGCAAAAGGGAAACTGAGCTGGTCACGTGGCTGGTCCCATGATAAATATTCTTGCATCCAACTGCAAGCAATTTGCGAGGATTCAGGACGGCGCAAATCGCGCAAATGCCATGCGCCTTCAACCAACCTGGCCGAGTTGTTCAGGTCAGTTGGGTAACCTCGCTGGTGATATGCCAGCACTTGATTGATGGCTTCTTCGCCCACCAAACCCCGACAACACACTTCCAGTGCCTCCTCATAGAGTGTGAAGCGTCGCATATGCACAGGCGAAACCCAGGCCGGACCGACAGTGTCTGCAGGACGGACCTTGTCCAGCACCCATGATGCAAGTTGTCCCGCCGTTAGCGACTTCAATAAGTGCAACTTGCTGTCCAAATATAGCAAGAATCTGGCTTTTCCAAAGGCCCTGTGGGAAAGCATCTTTGGAAGCCTGGATTGTCGTGCCAGGCTGGATAACGGCATGTTCTCCTCCGGAAGCAGGACTAAATTCCACGACCCAATTTTGGAGCCTCCATTTGGCGCCACGATCTTAGCATTAGCTGCATCAAGGAACAAAAAGAAACAAATGGCAGAATCATCAAAGGTAGGTGTAGTGAAGTCAAAGTAGTCGTAGCCTCCAAACAACGCGGACACTACCACAATACCACAACCAGCACTGGCATCCAATGGATGTTCGAAGACAAACTTTGGCAGCAACGAAGGGCACGAGTCCGGCACAAACTTAGACGCCGGGTTGCTCAGCTGGTCCTCACACGCACAACACAAAAAGGGTCTCAAAAACCAGCTGCTTCCAGCCGCTTCTTCTCTACTCACTCAAAGGGATCTGCTTTGCTTTTCGTGGCTGTCAACACGTTCGGGTTATTTGCCTTGGCAACTGGACCTTCCAAGCCTCAGACGTGGCACATGTTTTGGCATGGTGTCGTGTTGTGCTGAGGGAGGTCCTTGCGCATTTTCTACCGCAAGGCCCGCGTCTTCTCAACCCAAGCTTTGCCCTACCTTATGCAACGCTTTGACGCAGGGGCTTTGCTACTTTTGATTCGCCCGTTTGCTCAGCCCGCCTGACCGAGGCCACGCCGCTGAAGCTCCACTACCTCGGTCAAGGAGTCCAAACACCACGGGAGCGTGCCGTCTCGCATAAGGCTCACCTTGGTCCCGTCGAGGCTTGAGGCCAAAGGGCATCCCGAATCGGCCCAGCGAAAGGAAGACACCAAGCGAAAAAGCAGAACTTGTCATGTCTTGAACAAGAGATGATCTTGAGACCACAAAGAAATGAAACAGGAGCCATCTCTTGCTACATCCAGGCACGTTTTGGAGGCAAGGCATCTGCCCCGAGGCCATGCTGAGCATGACGAGGACGCCCAGTGTAAGAAGGCCCTTCAAGACGCGCTTCCCTGCAAAGATCCTTGAAACAAGCTCCAGCGTCAATCCTCCGTAAATGCCGGCACCCAGGATGCTCACCATTGCCCCCAGCGCCTGCAGGCGAGTCATGGAATCCTTGAAGATCAGGGAGCCTACCAGCAAGGCCATGACACGGCTTGAAGAGCTGGCCACGGCAATGGAGGTCACCTGGAAGCTTTGAATCGTCCATCTCTGACCTCTGTTCCCCCCTTGTTCGTTTGGGAATTTGTTTCTTTCCACTATGCTCTTTCGTTTTGGGGCCTCGCCTCGCAACTCAAGTTCACCTTCACGTAGCTGAGGTTGATCACAAAGCCAATCCCCGCGGACAAGAGGACGATCGCCTGCACTCCGGCAGATGCCTCCACGAGCTCCGCGGGCCTCTCGGTGGTCAGAGCCAGCGGCATGGCCGCGGCGATGACGTAAAGGTTCTGAATGATGGCGAGTCCCTCGGCCGTCTGAGACACCGACTTGCAGATGGCTCGCTTTTCCAGCAGCTGGGTGCTGACGTTCGCCAAGGAGTTCACCACAAGCCATGCGTGGCTGGCCAGCGAAAAAGTGAAGTCCGCTGCGGCATAGGTGGCAGCGCCCAAAATGATGATCACGATTCCCGACTTCTGCCGCAGGTTCTTGTCCTGGCGGGGTTGGACTCAATCCGAACACATCACACTTGCTTAATGAACATGACAGGACCTCATAGCTGCCACACAAATCTCACGTGCTTTCTCTCTCGTGGCCTGCTGAAAGAAGAAGCAATCCCCGGCCGCCACCAAGCAAAGCCCCAGCGACCGAGCAACGAGGATGTCGGAGACCGAGACCTGCGGCAAGGCGATTAAGGAGGTCAGCAGCATCAGAAAGAAAAGCACCGACGGCGGCAGGAAGATCAGGAACATCTCCTTGTCGAAGGCCTTCACTTGCCAAAGTCCAACCTGGACAGCTGGGCCAACCACAATGCTTGGTTCTGGTGCCCATCCAAGCTACCCAGGCAGCTGCAAACAACTGATGAGATGCTTGTCGTGCTTCCGCTCCCCCTTGCTTTGCTGAAGGACCAAACTTCTATACATTGCATCATTTTCCATTTTCAGCAAGCATCATCAGCTACTGTAGCACCAGCATCACCAGCGGGCTGCAGGTCGGTTCAAGATAGGGTTGGTTTGGGGTGGGTTTGGAGGTTGGATTAAGGTGGGTCGAGGCAGTCTTTAGGTTGGTTTGGGGTCGGGGTGTTGGGAAGGCTCTGGGTTGGCTTGGTGGGTTTTGGGTTTGTCAAAGAACGTGTCTTGCGCTTGTTTGCGTGGCTGTGAGATTCAAATGTTTGACCAAGCCTATTCCATCACACAAGTTGTCAGTTGTCTGCCTAACACTTCAGGGGTTTGCAAGAGTGAGTTGATGTGAGTTGCATCGTTGGCCCCTTGCTAAACAAGTACAGCACGGGATATGCATACTCTTGCCTGACACTAAGTGAATCCCGGGGACAGTATGTCATCCCTTCTCTTTGAGGAACAGGGGTTCTATGGCCCAAAACGAAGAGGGATCTGCACCTCAGGCCCTCCCGAAACAATGAAACAAGCGCATACACCAAATGCACAAATGGAATTTCACATCAAGTTGGATTGCCCCAAGTCACCTCCAAGTCTCAGTGGGTCGCATGTCCCCTCCGCCTTTTTCAGACAGGGTCAGTCTGTTGACGGAACAACAAAGGCACGCCTTGGCACCCAGGTAGTTCAGCAGCACGCAGGCCAAGCCCTGCACTGAGAGAAGCGCGAAGCGGCACCGCGGCACTGCGGCGGCCGCCAGCTTGTTCAAGAGCAGCATGCTGGCGGAGGAGAGGATGAAGCTGGTCATCCAGAACATGATGAACCAATCGCTTCCGATCAAGGCGCGCAGTTTATGGCAAACGAGTTTCTTCAGTCATACTCTAGAGGATCACATGAGGCAGAGCTTGCGAGTTTAGCACAGTGTGTGTGTGTGTGCGCGCAGTGTTGCAGGGTCGTGTTGTGCTGTCCGTGATGCACCCGGTCTGCCTTCGCAGTCGTCTCTGCTTTGTCACATTGTCCATCCAGGATCTCTGCCCCTTCAAGCCCGCAATTGCTTCAAATGGCAAGGTCGCATCCCACGCCAGACAAGGGCAAAGCATGGCTAGTGTCTCCGGTTCACCAGCACCAGCTTCGTCAAAATGGCATGTTCAAAGTGGGAGATCTCAGATCTATCTAATTACTCCTAATCCATAATCCGCAACACTCTTGAGAGCAGCTTCCCCCCAGCACCTTTTCATGCGGCGTCGACACAGGGTGCCCGACCGCCTCCCCGCCAGCAATTGGATGCGTTGGGCTCTTGGCGACAGACTTATGCCCGGAATTTGGCGCTGAGTCGCATTCGAACTGGTGGATTGGATCGATCATGTCAAGATGTCACAAGGCTCCGGGCGCGGCAAGTCGCCAAGTACCCAGCCGCGGCACTTGCCGGCACTTGGAGAAAAAATGTCCGCCAGTCACTGCCTCGAGGCCACTTTCGCCTGCAGCTGTGGACACAGGCCAACTGGACCCACGTTGCAAAGCTCGTTGTTCCCCATTCTGCACCAGACTCCCACAATGGATATTCTTTTGGGCAAGTCTCAGTCATGGAGTTGGATGTCTATGCACAGGTGGGAGCCGTCAAGCTAGGCTGAAAGTATAGGAAGATCGCAAAAAATAAAACATGCCCTCAACATCCATAGGCCTAGGCTCCTCATTGCCTCTCAATGCTTCTAATCGCTAAGCTGAGGTTGTGAGGACCGCTGGCAGAGCGAGGAACGAAGCAAAACCAAGCGTTAATGAGGCCGGGTGAGGCGAAAGGACAAACGATTGAGCCTTGCGAAATCCAGACCAAACATTGAGGCAAGAAAAAGGACCTGGCTCCGGGGAAGAAAAACCAAAAACTTGAAAACTCAGGTCAAAGAGTCGAGAAGCTTTTCGCTCCGAGTTCATTTTTTTTTTAGCGTCAGCTTGAACAGGGCGATCCGCCATCCCCGTCCTTGTCATGTCCTTTGGCTTCCTAGAGGGCGTTGCCTCGGCATCTCAGGTCTGGACGCTGCACGACCAAGCCTGGTGGATGCTTTGGATCACTTACCACAAAAAGGGGAAACACCACCACCTTGCAGAAAAAAGACAAAAAAACAACGAGATCAACTTCCACGCCAGAGACTGCGTGTGAGCTTGCATCTGTAAGGGTATACTCAACCTTCAAACGCCCCCTCGAGTCTGGAAATCATATTTCGCTTTCCCCATCGAATGCCGAACGCGCCCGCTTGTCTATTGTGAGGAGGTTGGCCATATCAGCGTTGGCCAAGGGCGCCGGTTTTCCTCTAAACATCGGGGGTGCTTTTCTCTCTCGTACCCCAAGAGAGACCAAGGAAAGCGAGTCTTCCCACATGGAACTCCAAATTGCGACCTCCGAGTCCGCGGCCCTTGGCACTCTCGCCGATGCGCACCACCTGGCTGCGGAAAGCTGTGTCCAGATTGGGGGGAAGCATCCAACTTCACGTTTGTCTCCTTAAAAGGCCTCCCTTTGAAAACAAGCAAGTCCAAAAAAATGATACAACAAAAAATCCATGGGTGCAGCTTCCCTTTTTCGCCCCCCATGGGCTCAGGTTTGATCTCGGCCTGGCGGAAGGCGACACGCCAGACGTTGAAGAGCGCCCAGGAGACGGCGAAGAGGGGCAGGGCCTCACCCAAAGCGGCGCCGATGTCTTTTTTTGACGCCCGCCGACTGAACGCGGACCTGTGATCCAACAGAAGCACATGCTCACCCAAGCTGAGGAGTCCTTTTGCACAAGTCTCATCAACTTTCCGAAGATTGGCACACTTGCACCATATCCCGGCCGACACTCGATGCATTGCACCTATCCTAGCATCCATGCAGGCATTTCCTGCGTCAAGGCTCCCACCATTGGGCTGAAGTCTTAGCGCCTAACGTTTATAACGTCCTCCTCACCCTCTGGGGTCCTTGCGAGCACGGCGACGATGCGCAAATCGAAGCCTGGCATGCCATCTCTTTGTCGGGGGGGGGGCACCCCAAATTCGGGTCCGTCGCCCCTGCCTTCGTCGTCTTCCGAAGCGGCACGCACCGCCCAGGCAGGGGCCTAGAAGCTGTGGTTTCGTTTGCTCGCACCCGGAGTTGCAAGTCGCCGTTGTGCCTCATGCTGGGACCTAGGAAGTGTTCCAAGGAAAACATGGGATGGTCTCAACAGACTTCAAGTGATTCGTGCCGGTTTCCATTGAGAATGCACCTTGGGTACCTATCAAAATTCGGTAACCAAGCAAACAACAACTGGTGGCTTTCCTTGTGTTCATTCAAACCAACCCCAAAACGGGCACCCTCCAAGAGCCACTCGCACGACCCAGCTTCCCTTCGCACGCAGCACCCGCCCCAGCGCCGGAATTTCTCAGCGCACCGCCGGCGTGGCGGCTGCCGCCAAGGCCGCGCTCAGGGCCACTGCTTGAGGGTGCTGCAGCGCCTGGGCGAAGGCGGGGAGGTGCTGCTGCTGATCCTCTTCCATGTGCGTTGTTGGCCCCTGTAGAAAAAAACATATTTCCGGCGATCAATTCCTCTTAAACCCAACAAGGGGAAAGAACAAAGAATGTTTGGGCTTCATTCATTTACTGTTTTGGGTTGCTTGGCCAAAAACTTGACGGCATGAATACAATATTTCTCTTTCCAGAAAACACACAATTGGATAAAGTTGCGTCCTGCTTCTTCCTTGCTCACTTTGTGTGGACTGAACCACTTGGCCGGGGCTCCGCGCAACCTCCGTTGATGCGCTGGGGGCTGGCACGAAGGACCTGTAACGGACTAATAAAGCGCTCCAAATATCAGGAGTCTTCAGGATAACAGGGGGGGAGAGAAATAAACACAAACTTTCTTCTCCCATGATGGCACAACGCAAGGAAGCAAACGCTGCGGGAGGCAATTCGCTGACCCGAGAACCGGAGTGGGGGGCCTGGACTCCGGGAGCACAAAGTACACCGCTGCGACCTAGGGCTGGACGACTCAAGGTCATGATGGCCATGCTTTGTTGAATCATGTCAGGCCGCACGGTAAGGCTGCTGGACAATCAGTTCTTGGGTTCTCAAGCTGCTTTTGCCTTATTCTGTCGGCAACAGCTCCATTGGAGATTCTCCCAAGTGACACGTTCAATCGGACCTGAGGAGACTGAGTCTTGAGACTCACTATCCCAATCCCTGTAGGAGAAACACAATCTTTACTGATCAGTTTGATTCAACCAGACCCCATCAAATGCTGGAGTGGACAACAAACTGTCGCCGGGATCTGGCGTCAATGCAGAGATTCAACTCTGATACTGCAACTCAATATTCTCACTTGCTGCAGTCAACAAATCAAACAAACAGGTGGGATTCGGGGATTGTGACACTTCTGTTTCCCCTTCAGCAATATGTCCCTTGGACTAATTCCTCATTCATCCAGAAAGAAAGTCCTTCCTTGGTGAGTCTTTCGACTCCGCGCGAGAAGTTACCGAACTCGACAGCCAAAAGTATGCACCTCCTCCCTGTCATCCGCCAAGGGTTTCATGGTTGTGGAACATAACCTTCTCTGTGATTTCCAGGTGTGTGTGATCCCCATTTCTTTTTTGAACAACATCGCTTTACAGGGGATTCCCTTGGTAATCACGGAAAGTTGCACTGACACCGCATGTTCCACACCATGGAGGGTTTTGAGGCAAAGCCTGGTGATGCGACGTCTCTTTAACGCCGGAGCTTGCAAAACATGTCCATCCCCTTGAGGACCCCAAGGGCATACCCTTTCAACCCCCAGAAATCACCCATCCCAAAAATGTGCCTGCTCTTTTTGACCATCCCGACTCTGGGACCAGTGCAAGGAGCAGCGGCGCGAGAGCCGAGCTGGATCGGGCCATGACCTGCCAAGAGGACCCCACTGGGGGGTTTGGCAGGCCAGGAGTAGCCAACCGTGCCAGTTTGGCACGCCAAGTCCTTTGAGCAAAATGGTGCCAGCCATTTGGAAACCCTGAAGCTTGCTGGGAATGGAGAAGTTTGCTATTAGGTAAAGGTGTACAATTTGCGCAATGTCCGTCCTGGACGAGAACACAATGAACGAACGCTGTTGGTTGTTTGAAGGCTGCTAACCTTTGGTTAGTTCGTCTTTCCCCAACAGTTTTAACTTGTTGCATGGGTCCAAAACCAGCCCAAACCTCATGATCATATCAACCACACCTTGAAGCATCAAACACCTTCAGACTGGGCGTAAATTGACCGTATTCGAGACTCTGGCAACACTCGAAATGGGACCGTTCACTTGCGTGCTTGCTTTCTTGGAGATACTCCTTGGGCTTCTCTTGCGTCGCGTCGATTCTTGCCACATTTCCGCTTGCTTGCCCGCCTGACTGACTGAACCAAGGACTGAATTAATGACTGAGTTAATGACTGATTGATTGATTGAGTGAGTGATTGATTCATTCATTCATTCATTCATTCATTCATTCATTTCATTCGTTTCATTCATTCATTCATTCGTTTCATTCATTCATTCGTTTCATTCATTCATTCATGAACTTATTCTATTTGATTGATTTGATTTGATCTGCTTGTTTTGCTTTGGTTGATGGATGGATGGCTTGGAATGGATTGGAATGGATTTGAATTGGAGCTCCTGCTGCTCAAGTTCTTCCAAGCAGGGTATGACTGTGGAGACAGCTTCTGACCTTGGGACATCTGAACATGTTTCGCACATTTTGCCACCCGCTTGACCTTCAGAAAGGTTGCTCACGCCTCAAACATCACCTCAAATTCTTCTCGGATCATGCCTCAAAGAGCGGCTGTCCCGCGTGTGGCTAGTGACTG